TTTATTTTAATTTTTTTTTTTTTTTCTTGAATACTTAAAGCATTTTCTGTGCACTCTTCATATACACTCTTCTCTTTCTTAAGACACTCGAATTCTTCCTTTATACACTCATTAGTAATATTGTTAACCATCGATTCCTCAATACTCATTAAACTTTTTCTTTGTCATCCTTTTCTACACACCCCTCTTAGGATCCCACCAGAAATATCACAGATGAGACCATCTACACCGAGCTGGACATGATCGATATTGACAGCGTGGATCTATATATTGATATGGTCAGTCCCAATAATAGCATCGCATCATTTCAAGGCGACGAGGATGAAGATTAGCATCATAGGTCATATTATAATTGTGTCAACAGAAGCAAATAAACCCAAAGCTCACCAAATGATTTATTTTATGTGTGATAAACTGGCGAAATATCAGTATGTTATGTAAGGCCTTTATAAGCTCTTACTAGGCATTTACTTATGATTAACCCAAGTTTGGTATCCTTTCTCGAAAATTTGATCTGAATCTCATTCCTTGTCTAATATCTCAGCGCCTAGTCAAACAACCATTAAATGTCCTCCATGGTCCCAGCAAGTTCTTCATTCAAATGGCCTTTGCTTTCTCTACCTCGCTTTTGCTGCATGTCTTTCCCTTTTCTGCCTCTCTCCTTCTGCTTCTTCATTTTTTCTAACAGTTGTGATTATGGTTTCATTAGAAGCTTCGTATGCTTGCAACATGCAACACAACTTGGCAAATGTCAACTTACGGGGACGCGATTTAAATACCCTGTAAAATAATCTAAATTGGGAGATGATGGTATTTAGGTTTTATATAATTTAATAAGGGGGAAACAACATAAAGCAAACAATATTTTTTATTAAATGGTCAGAAAATTACTAAAATTAATATACCCTATTTTTTGTATTAACTAGGGCATACTTGATACTTTATCACAATTTAAAATAATAAAATGAAAAATTTGAAAATCTGACTTCGGCTTTTCTGCTGATCTTCAACCAAGTCACCATCGAGTAGTTACAGCGTATCTCAATAGCCAATCATGGGAAAAATTCATACCTGTTTCTGGTTTTTTTGTTGTTGTTTAGCAGCCGTGGCTTGTTGACACAAGGTAATGAGACAGCCCGCAATTTGCTTGCATAAGACAGCAGCACAAACACACACCCAAACACTCGCACACATACAGCTGCACATGCTCTTGTACTTTTTATAGCATACTTTCGAGCGGTGCAGAAATGCCTGGTCAGAAGCCACAGAGCCGCAGACCGCAGCTGCAGTCAGCATCCAAGCATGGCCAACATTGGTGGCCTGGACTACGACGAGAAGCTGCCCGCCATCGGCGGCGTGACCAGCAGCACAGCGTTGGCTATTCGAAACTCGACCATCATAGCGCATCGCTTGTCCATCTACTTGCCGCAGCTGCTGCTGCCCACGCGCGATCCGCAAAAGGTGAAACTTATGCAATTAAGGGAGTCACAAATGCGTCAGCTTATTTCTCTCTGTGTCTCTCTTTATATGCTCTTAGCTCATCATGGAAATCAATTGTTATGTGGCCCAATTTCGTGAGCTACTCATCTTTATAGGTCAATCACGGGACTCCCCGGAGCTGCGCGACAAAATTCGACGCTTGCGCCGCAGCTGCGTGGATGCGTGCAAGCACACGGCACATCTGATCACGCCGCAGCCCAAACACTGTCGGGGCAATGCGAGCGGAAACTTGAATCTGTCGCTGCTCTATCAGCTGACGCAGCAATTCCGCCACGAGCTGCTCAGGAGTCATCGCCTCATACAGCTGGTGCCATATGATATGACGGATTACTATGGTAAATTGGGAGTCTCTACATAGAAGTTCTGCTACTCAATTCCTATTTCAGCACCCGCTCGTACGGCGCCCTCGAATCTGGGCAACGTCATCAGCCAGATCCTGTTGTGCAAGCAAATCAATCCGGACTTCCAGCAGGAGGAGCTGTGCAGCATCAGCAAGGATGCCCAGGAATTGAACGAGCTGCTCGACGAGCTGAAGCCGCATCTGCCCAGTCCAGAGACAGGAAACGAAGCAGACCTGTACGAGCAACTGCCACACAGCTGTGAGTAAATGCATTGTGAACTGAACTGAATACGGCCGCTATAAGCCAGCTTAACTCTCTACACAAACAGCCGCAGCAGCAGCTGATGTGAACCTGGCCTTCCTCAATTCACCGCCCGCCTGGTATAAACAGCAGCGACGCCGCAGCTGCCGCACTCGCAGTCGCAGCCTCTGTCTCTGCTGCTGCCTGAAGTCATCCCAGGTGAATTCGTTTTGAGACAAAATACGAAAAAAACAGGTAAGCGAAAGTTGTGCCTTGTATTTGACTGCCCGATACCCTAGATATATGCAGGAATTACCCATAGCCTATTGATTTCCCGTTACATGTGGCGCCTGTCATCAGACCTCTTCAAAACTAAATCCATATTGTAAATTAGCTTAGCTTAGTCTTAACTTATCTCGCAGGAAATTTCAAATAAAACGAGAAATTCTAATTGATAATGCTCAATGGGCAAACAGCTTAATGAATATACTTTACGAATAAACCATTCACTAGAATGATATAGGAGTAGATTAGGCTTCTTTTTTTAACTTACAAAATTGCAGAGCTTAGTATAAACATGAATATCATTTGGATGCATTTGTAGATGTGGAAAATTGCCGAAAAACGATGTATAATAAATATTAATACTGTAGCCTATTTGTTATATTAACAAAATTAGTAATATTTATATTTATATAACTGCAGTCAGCTTTGTCACAGGTGATTTAAATAAAACAAAACTTTCACATTAGGTTCGAAAAAAATCCCCTCAGACGGGAAGAACTTGTTTAACAGTAAGGCATAATACTTATTATATGTACATATGTATATATGTACTTTTTGACTTTAATTTTTAAAATAAAACTAAAACAATTCAATAATACTATACAAAAAAAGAGTAAAAAAAAATTGCTAACAAGATAATAGAAATATTTTTGTTGTATTATATCCCGAAGCTAACATTATTCTTAATGGCTTAGGTTACGATTAAGTAGGGAATTAAAAATATGAATAATTATTTTTAATTCTTTTTTTTTTTTTATAGAACTAAACTCATTTCGCTTTATACAAACAATTCATAGTTATATTCATTCAAAAACTCTGCCCATCAATTGCCTGTAATTATTACTTTTTCAATGCATTAAGCGATATATAAATATTCACATAAATTTGATTTTATACATATGTATATATTTTGCACACCTTTGGCATTTTCCGCTAAATTAGGTGCCCATACAGCATTTCAGATTTATGTGTGTGTATACTAAAAATGAAACTGTAAAAAGGCTACACCGTCTGGTGTAAACTTTTAGCGTTCACTTTATGAGTGTGTGTGTGAGTGTGCTAAATTTACAGTTGACAAACCTGTAGGCAGCAGCGACAAGGAAGTGAATGTGGTACAAGGTAGTTAACAAAATATATGTGCATGTGAAATGCCGTTATAGCAACGGCAATGCTATATACAGGGCAGCTCCACAATTTATGAGCAATAAGCAACGTGTGTACTTTAAAAAACCCAAATCTATATATACCATATATTTGAATAATTGCATGTCTAAAACCGTTTAGTTAAGTCATTTCATTTAACCTTCAAAGGCAGGTCGCACCATAGAAACACTATCAGATGTGCTGATAAGGTCGAGCGTTTGTTAATCTCTGCTTTCCATAGCAGTACGTGTGTGCATATAGCTTATATGGAACGCGCCCCCTTCAATAAAAATTTATAACAATTTACATTTGATTTTTGTATTTTTTGAATATATTTTTGAATTTTAAAAATATGCTTTTGTCTTTTACAAAAGATATCTCTACATTAAAAATATATATAATATATATGTGTATATACTTTATGTAGCTATAGTAGATATATGTATATATGTATGTATAGGTTGTATATATAAGGTATAAACTTCTAGGTATATTTATATATATATATATTATTATATGTCATATGGATTTTCACAGAAAATCTTCAACTTTCTTTTGAGTAATGCTTACTTTCCCAATTGTTTTTCTTTTTTCTTCTCTTCTCTTCTCTTTTTAGCGTATTATTCTTTGTGTTGATTTCTGCATTGATTTCTTTGCTGATTTCTGTGTATCTGTGTGTATTGAGCATTAGACTTACTATGGAAGATTCTTGTTCAATTTTTTTTTGCAATATTTCCAACGATTTTTGTTATAGATTTTTAATTCTTTTTTGATTTGTGCACATAAATTTGGCGATTCGTTAAACCAACAATAAAAACTAAAAATATTAACAATTATTTAAGATCGTTGGACTTTCCATTTGTCTACAGTTATTAAATTCACTATTTGTTTACGAATATTTTGCGTTAAACATTTTCTCTGGCTAATATCACCTTTATCACTGCGCAGCAAGGCGCTTAAACTGGACTTAAGTTCAAGCTAAATGTAGTCTCTTCTTCTTTAAGTTAAGTATAGAGTGTGTGTGTGTGTGCGTGTGTGTACAGTGTAGACAAATAATTAATTAACTGCTTAACGCTAATTCAACACAAGCTACATTAATTCTCGCTAAAACTCAACGCGTGCACAACAATAAAATGTTTCCAGCAGAAGAAGAATTCAATAAAAAAAAGAAAAAACTAAGAGCTAATAAAAAGCTTAGTTAATTTAAGCACTTAATTTAAATATGAAGTGAGAGTGGGAGAGAGAGATTCTCCTCCATGACAACGGCTCTCTCCAATGCAGCAATAAAATAATAAATGTGGTGTGGACTTTATGTTTGTTTGTTTTGTTGGCTCATGTTGTGTGGCATGTGGCATGTGGCCATGATGGCAAATGACTGATGATGCTTGTGCTTGTGCGTGTGCTTGTAGTTTAGGTGGCGCCAACACTTTTTGAAAAGGAACACTGTACTGTATCACGTCCACGGCGAACGCTTCAGAGACGCGTCATTTTGTTGGGCGCCGATGACGATGCGGTCGACAGTTGCTCCAGGCGCGAGCACAACTCCTGGGCGAGACGCAGCTGATTCGCTGCGGCAGCAGCACACGATGTGGCCGTTGTTGGTGCCACATTATTTGCCACGGGCAGCTGTTGCACAGCGGCGGCCATTGCTTCCGGAAAACTCAGACAGACGCCGACCCAACGTGCTTTGCTGCATGCATGCGACTGTAAAAGCAAAGAACCGAGAATTTAGTCATTGAACTCTCAGGCAGTGTTGCCAGATTAGCTATTTAATAGCATTTTTAGCTATTTTTGAACCCTAAAWGCTATGAAAATTTTGAAAATGCTATTAGCTATAAATTTAGCTATTTTACAAACGAATATTTTGAATTTGATTTTAGAATTTAAAGCAAAAAAAAAAACATTTTTCGATTAAGTCCCAAATTGTACGTAATGATCTGCGCGATACTACCACCACGACTTTATCGTACTTATAACATCAGTTGTGAATTTACACCATCGCTAATTCTTCTTGGCGCGCTTCTTGGCATTAATTGTATGTGATGGATAAAAAATATAAGCAGAAATTTCGTGATTCCTGGAAAACAATCACCGAATTTAAGAATTGGATTAAGGAGGATGAGTCGGACAACAGGCGGGCNAAAAAAAAACATAAAACTGCGATTGGCGTCTTTGGGCAAAAAATTTAAACATTTTCCATGATTTCATTTAAACATGATTCCAGTTAATCAAAAATATAATTCTGATGATGATTTGGATGTGGACCAAATTGTAACATTATTAAATAACATTTAAAAATAAAATTTAAAGTAAATGCATAATGCATAAAGGTTTCTCAGCAATTTTGTAAGCTATTTTAAAATTTGTTTAGCTATTTTCAGCTATTTTTTAGAGACGATTTTGCTATTTTTATGTCTCAAAACCTGGCAACACTGCTCTCAGGGCTGCAGCCGCACCAAGCAACTCACCATGGCAAAGTCACGCTTCCATTGCACACCACACTGGCCATCGCACAGAGGGCAGGGACGCTCCAGGCTATAGCCGCCACATTCGCTGCAATCGAGCGAGACATGATCATCGGTCCAGGAGACGCCGCATGTAAAGCACGAGCCCAAATGTTGGCGCAGCTCCTCAATGGTCAGCACGCTGTCCATGTTGATCTCCAATGGGCTGCCAACCAAATCAGGCAGCGAGGCAGATAGACCCAAGCTGTGATGACTAGAAAAGATAACAAAGAGAGAGAGAACAGATTAGCTACTGTTGGCATGGAAACAGGAGCGGCTTGACAATAAATGGCCAGTGGATTATTGCTAGCTCTATAAATTTTAACTATATTGAATTTATATATTTGAATAAATAAATATTCTGCTATGCCATAAGTAAGGTTTCATTTCCTTATTTCTGTGCTTCATGATTTCTTAGGCCTCATCTCAACCTCGAAGCGCACCTGCAGTAGCGAAAGGCAGGCAGGCGTACCAGGCCATGACCTTGCTTGGTGGGCGGACATTGGGGAACGGCGTGCGTCGCAGTCGCTGTTGCCGCTGCCGCTGCTGGCGTGATTATGATAATGAGCAGCGTGATGGCGAGATGGCAGCGACGACGGCGACGCTGGCGTTTCGGGACTGTACCAACGTCAGACAACAGCAACAGCAACAACAATGATAGACGGCAGCTTTCGCTCGATCATGTGAGCGCCGCATTGTCGCCAGCGTTTATTGTTAGCCCAAGAGAGCACAAGATAAACAGAGAGAGAGAGAGAGAACGAGAGAGTGAGCGTATGGTAGCGAGAGCTTAAGATAATGTATCAGACATCAGACTATAAGCTAATGCAGCTATGCGACATTTTTTGAATGTTGTTGTACTCTGCACCCACAGGTCGGTCTGATTAGATTGCTAGAATTATGAATGGGCCAGGCGGCATTAACATGGCCATTGGACAGTCACTGTTCAGAGTCACTGTTAACCAGTCACTGCTAAACAACAGTCACAGTCGGAGTCTCAATTCCCACTAACTGGCCCTGGCTTTGTTGATTAAGCTCACCGAAATTTCGCACATTGAAACGATCAAAGCGTGGCGTATGGGCCAAAGGGGGCCGGGGAGAGGGGACAGTACGCGTGCTATTCAGTTGTCATTCCATAAAAACGGAAATGGCGCTTCCAGCTAAATTCAGCTGTGAATCACAAGGCGTATGAGCAATCTGGCCATAGATAGATACATTTCATTTGTATATGTCTGTGTCTATGTACACATATCTGTGTGTCTATCGGTGTATCTGTGGCTAATCTTTATACATATCATTTGACCATATATCTTCATAGCTTTTACTTACGAGAGCGGACTGCAAATGTCGGCAATTTGGGGAGCATGTACGCTGGCACTCGACATTGTTGCTGCTGGCACTGCAATGAAAAACCAGAAATGAGGAAAAACATTAAAAAAAAGACATAATTAAACGCAGATATATATAAAAGTTCACTTCAGTCCGGGGGGAAGTGCCCCCCCTTTGATGGCATATGTCAGGGGCAAAACGAGTACGACAAAAATACAGGTAAACAAACGCACGAAGGTAAACGAGCTAGTTGTGCAGCTGCTGTTAGTGTTGTGTAGCTTTTAATGATCAAACTAGTGTGTGTGCGTGTGTGCGTGTGTGTGTCTGTGTGTGGGTATTATAAAACACTTAAATGTCAAAAATGTTTATGTACATATATACATACATATACATTGTACACATACATATATATTTTGCACTGATACCAGCTACAGGCACAACTGTACCCACATCCACTTGCTCTTCACACATTTCCCAGCTTGATGGTCAATTTATATACATTTAATGTCACTCTGCAATATTAATTTTATACTAAAAGGCGATAAAAATCCGGTTGAGCTTAAAGGCCATACACAATAAATTACAGCTTGGCTTGGATATTGTTGATGCGTCATATCAAATTGCTATACTTATTATACACTGTAAACATTCATTTAACTTTGGCTGAGACAATTAAAGTGAAGTCTTAATTTGTGCCAAACTGAAACTTTTACGTTTCCAGCTAAATTGCTGTGACAGACCATATCAACTGATACGTATATATATGTATTGAGATGTATATGTGTATATCTGTATGTGTGCTTGTATAATGCACTGTTGTATTTATAGCTCATTTAATGTCGGCACGAGCATCGTGTCTGTCATTAGAGGACCTTAACGGCGGGATGCGGGGCGAGCGCGGTGCAAATCATGCTGATTTTGGCAGCATTGCAAAATTTTTATTTTTGACACACAGCGACAGCACATGACTTGGCTGGTTGTCTGGCTGATCATAAAAAAAAAAGCAAAAACAAAAACAAACAAAATAAATATTCTCAGTTTATTTTTGTTTATCGTATTTATGTTATTGTTTCTATATTTAGTTGATCATATGAGACCTACAGCGCGCATAAAGTGTAATCAAATTAACGGTACGTGGTAAATGTCGCAGAAAGACTGCAACAAGTTGGCAAATGTAAATGTAAATGTAAACGTTATGTTAATGCTATGTTAAGTGAATGCATTCATACATATACATTTATATATATATATAGATATATGCAAGTGCATATTTAATGAAGTTTTCCGAACAACTGTAAAATGCAAACTCCATTTCTCGTTTTGCACACGAACACTAGATATCTATATAGATATATATCTATATGTATATATATGTTTGTTTATATATAGACTTGGCATGCAATGCGGCTGCCTGCAACAACTCACAACTAGTTGCATTTAATTAAATTTGATGTGATTTATTTATAGAAGGGCATACACACACACACAAATACATTCATATGTAGCACAGAATGCAAGTCTTGTCTGTATCTATGTGAGCGAGTGTGTGTGTGTGTGTGTCTGAGCTGTTGAGTTTATTTTGGGCACGGAAATACTTACAATTTGTTGCTGTTGTTGTTGTTGTTGTTGTTGTTGCTATTGCTGTTAGCTGCTTTTACAGAATATCTGATTGCTAACGGCGCAAAATATTAATTAGGCGCTATTAATAATCCAAATTGGGGTTTGCCAGCTGTATTGTAAGTTTGGTTGGCCTTGCGTAAGCGACAACAATGAAATTGTTTTTCATACAACAAAATTGCAATTAAAGTTTTTGATATTTTCTTTTATTGTTTAACTTTTCACACGCGCTTCGCAACAGTTAAACACACGAATTTCGCACAAAAATTAGCTTTGCTTTAATATGTGTATATCAATAAAATGTTGTGACAGTAGCTGCAGCTCACTTTTATAGTTGGGCTTTGTATATGAAATATGTTTGTATTCCTCTTTGATTTTTGAACTTGCTGTAGTTGTAGTAGTTCAACAAAAGCCTAAAGACCAAGTGGCATGCTCGACAACACAAATATAACTGAAATGAAGTCGCTGACTGCGATGGCCTTTTATAGCAAACTGAGCGGATGTGTGCGAGCGAGAGAGCGAGCGAACGAGCAGCAAAAGTGAGCACAGTGATATTGCAGGCGAGCGCTGTTGCTGAGTGCGCGTGTGTGAATGCGAGAGAGCGAGTGTACGCGGTTCTGTGTCTGTGTGTGTGTGTGTGTGTGTGTGTGTGTGTGTGTATGTGTGCGTGTGTGGCATGACAAAGCAAAGCTAACGAACTTGTCAGCCTGAAATTTGAAAATGCGCACCATACATCGAGAGAGAGAGAGAGAGCGAGGGCGAGAGAGAGAGAGAGCAAGAGAATATATACAAAGTGCGAAACGCAGAACAGCGTGGCATAGGGTAAATCAAAGTTAATGCCAAAACGAAACAAGACAAAACTAAATAAATAATCAAGACCGACTCAGCAGATGCTGGCCAAATTGATGCTGCAAGTGTGTGTATTTATGTAGTTGGCAACAGGCGAAGATGGCGATAAATAGCCAAAACAAAACAACTGTTCCAGAAAGCGAGAGCCAGAGAGAGAGAGATAGAGATAGAGAGTAGCGAATGAGAGCACGATAAGAAACAGCCGAATGAGAGACCTAGACAGAAAGAGAGGGAGAGAGCATGTGTGCGATCGCTCGTTTAACGGTCAAACCACAAGGCAACAAAAACAACAAATATTAAAAAAACCCACAGACTCACACACACACAAATACACATACGCACACACATTCACGTGCGTTGCCAATACCAATGCTCGTCAATACGTATACGCCGCGTGGAACAAGTCTAATACATTGACTAAATGTAAACTCGAGGGGTTGTTGACGTAGGTAATTTGGACAAGAAAAAATACCGTCCGGAGCAACTAGCGTCAGCACAGACAGAATTTCATTTGAATAACAAATAATATTTGCCATTTGTGACAGGTAGACAAGAGTCCACGGACAGGGAGAGGACAAACGGAACAGATAGACAACCAGCGATAGCCAGATAGCCAAAAAAAAAAAAAAAAAAAAAACAATATGCTCAATCGAACAGGTACTTCACAAATAAGCGCGACCCGCGTTTTATGGCTTCACGGGAACCGATTATCCCGTGCAAATGCTTATCTAAAACACAAAAATAAATCAAACAACTACACCCACATAATCTTATCGACGCGTGGCGGCAGCTGTGGCCGTAGCATGAAATATAAAACAACTGTAAACTGCAGAGGTATCAAAGTCGAAATGTAAGTTATGTATATGGAGCAGAGGCGAATGGAAATTGCCACCCGTCACATGTGCTAAAAACCAGCAACAAAATATTCGCAAATTAATAGGAATTGCTTTTTTTACATTTTTTTTTTTTTTTTTTTTTTACAGTCTACATGAGTCGCGCGTCGAGTCGCAGCTCAAATTTCGCTGGGGTCTACGAAAAAAAAAAACGGAGCAGCCAGCAGATAGAAGATCAACTTAAAAGTGGCCCTCGACAAATATAATGCAATTCAGCAGCAACGCCAACGTCAACGTCCCAACTATAAAACTATAAACAGAACCAAACACACACACACACGCACACACAGGCACACAAATTTGTATTTATATTATAAACAATTGATGTTTATTTAGAAAGGCTAGAAAATGTGTTCATGACGATCATTACCATTAATAATCATCATCAGCATGATCATTCTCTCCCTCTTTTCCATATTCCTAAGGCAACGTGTTTTCTTTTCTTTTCTTTTTGACTGACATTCAACTTTTGCATGCGACGCAGTTTCACATTGTTGGGGGCAGATTTATTCATTTGTTGATATTATTTATAAATATTAAATTTATTTATTATTTTGTTTCAACGGGGTTACGCGAGGGATAGAAAACCATTGTCATCGCAGAAGGTCGCGCTGCAATTACTTGAAAAACACCTCTCCGCGACGCTCAAAAGATTGCGTCAGTCAACAAATGTGAACGATATTAATATGAACCAATAACCCATGGACAAAATCCTCAGCAATATACATATGTATATACACACATACATAGTTATTATTCATATACATATAACAAATAATATTTAAACAACATATTGCAAACCTTTTAAAAAGTTATTAAGTGTTCAGCTACGTTCGTTATTTGTTGGCACATATTTGAGTTACCTGTTTGAGATACAGAAATATTTACATACATACATATACAATGCAGATGAGTATATACAAATGCAGATATATATGACTACAATACAATGCAGATGCACGTATGTATATGGTTGTATATGCCCAGGTAGCTCAAGCAGTAGCTGTAGAGGTTATAGCCCTGAGAGCACTGTATGTAATTGCTTAAGGGAATTTTGGGAGATTTATATGATAATGTAAGAAAAAATAAATAAAATATATAAATACGTATTATACATGTATTTCAAAATTCAAAATTTAAATAAGCTATACAGTGAAGCTCTTTCTACTGCCCTAAGTAGGTTTCTTTGAAATAATGTTTATTTCCAAAAATAAAAGATTACATATTCATTTGGAATTTCCTATATTTGTTATATATAGAATAATTATCGAACTGATATTTCCGAATTCATATAATTATCATAAATTGCTAGAAAGTTCTCTAATTAGTTTTATCTTTAAATTGTATAGCAATTCAGCTGTCATTAGTCGCTCGTGCAATTAGTGAAATGACTGAATATCATTTTGGACATATGTATGTATGATAGATAGAAATGATATATACCGCAGAGCAACTTTGTAAACAAATCGACTTTAAAACCTACAACTTATTCGCATAAATATTTCAACCTTATTCCACTTTCATATGCATCTACTCTTTAAATATTTATAAAGGTTGCGGTTTCCTCAAGAACATTTCATATATGTATATATATATATATGCATTCATCAAATCTTATCTCTAGAAGTTTTTCATCGCATATTTCACTTTCATAACTACAAAGTACTTGTTGTAAAACATATACATATACTTATAACATATACATATATGATCTAGCTCAACTTCTCTAGAATATTTCGTCTCTATTGCACTTCCATCACATTTCTTCGCCAAAGTATTTAACCCATTCTCCCTTTCTCACTTGCATTACTGCACATGCATACGCTTCAAGCAGCCCTCGTCAAAATTTGTAGATGTGAGCACACGCTAAACGGTAACAGATACTATCTGATGTTACGATATACGCGTAGACGAACAAGTGCTGCTTGAAGACATGCGCTTCCTCTTTAGCTCTGCAGTCAGTTGAGGCAACTCGATTTTTTTTCTTTTTTTTTGTTTCTTTGAGACGCAGCTATGCAAACAAAGCTGCTCCTTGCAAGTGGCTGTCAATAGTTATGCGATTTGTGTAAATAAATAAATACATATGCATTGAATGGATGGATCTGTATGGTGTATGGTATGGGGTGGTGTGACATGGTATGGTTAAAAGCTGCGATCAGATGTGCCCGCAAAACAAAAACAAAAATGTTGACGTCAATGCGCAAAAACAGAACAGAAGAAGCAGAAACAGGAAAAGCAAAGACAATAACAGTACACCCCCAAAAAGAAATGAAAGCAATGCATATAGAAGGCACAGATACAGATACAGATACATTTACAGATACAGATGCAGTTTGTTTTGATCACTGATGAATGAATGATTCACAAATTACGAGGAACTCTAAAATACGCATATATTTTAGTTATTAATACTCAACTGAGAAATTCCAAATTAATGGGGCTCCAATCAAATGCTAATGAGTTCAACGCAAATCTAAACGAGTTTTATTTTATATTCTCCATGGTAAGTGTCTAAGTGTGTGTGTGTGTGTATTAACATATTTTGCGGCTTCCCTCATTGTTGGACGTGAGCAAACAAAAGTTCCAGCAATTATTTACTTAATTAATGGAGGAAAAAATATAACTAAGTGTAGTTAGTTTAAGTGTATTACGACTCAATATATATGCACAAATCTAGACGATTTCAAATTGAACGAAGTAGAAAACCGAAAAAGGTGTATAAAGGGGGAAATAAAAAATTAGCTATTAATTCACGAGCTGATAGAAGCATGGGAAATTCACTGCGAGCGCTGCTGTTGACAATGCCAATTAGAAGTGTGCGAATTATATATGACCGATCGAGCGGGAGGGCGTATTTGAAGTGAAAATTCCACAACCTTGAACTATGATCAGCCGCTGTACTCAGAATTTTTGCATTAGCTGTTCTGTAGAAATTTGCATGCTCTCATGGATAAAATGATCTACATAAAATAAGTAATTGTGTAAGAATGGGAAAAATGGATTAGGCAATTAAAGTCAGATTCAACTAGAAGAACTAGTTTTAAAATATAGGGGAAATAACGTTTCGGCGCATCAACATAACGTTAACATGGAAGAGACGAGTTAATAGCTGTTGGACTGTTACAGTACAGCTACTACATACTTAGCAGTACAGTTCGTTAACAGTATGTTAGCCGACCTAAGAGCGGTTCGTCTGCTTATGTAAAAATATAGGTTTACTGTAAACACGTTTAGGGCAACTGCCAACAACCATGAAAGCCACGTCAGCCTCAACAACAGCTAGGTGTAAAATGAGTTGAAATGTTAAAGCTGTAATAACTTGTAAATTTAAGCCATGTTTGCGTAATATCTTGATGCTGGTAAAGAAACAACAACGCATACTTAGAGTAAAATCAAAAAAGCCAATACAACTGTAAAACCAATCAATATAATTATATTTACAATTGCAACCCTATTTCGAAAACACTGGCTATTAAAATTGCAATGTTATTAGATATTGATAAATTACATAGGCCAAGGCCTTATCGTAATCGATCGTTTATGGCTTGGCGATAAAGTGGGGGCATGTCAGCTGGCATTTAGCGCTAAACACAATACAAACTTCGGTGAGTAAGCTATTTAGTATTCAGGGAAGAGTTATACGAACTCTTTGTACATTGCCGAAATCAATTATGCCTTTATCTCGCCTATACTAAGAAAGAGCAACAAAAACAACTCTAAAACTGAAAACTGATAAGAAAATAACAAATTCTTTGCTCAGATGATAGTTTTTAATTCAATTTTGATGTAAGCCTAATCAGCTATATATTTGAAATTCTGGAAAAGTTTTGCATCATATTTCTAGAAACATCTATTCGGAAGATGCGATCTGAGTAATGCTTTTAAGTAGTCATGTGATACTTAGTTAACATATGATAAACTCAATTCACGGCATTATATATGATACAATAGATCCATTATGTAGTGGGAGCGCACAGTTCACACCAAATCATGTTTATATATAGCAGATGTATTCATTGTTAACCCCACATATACGCAGAAAATTTTATAAATACACTCCTGGGCCATAGCTGGCGTCACAGTATACCTATATATACATATATATGTATATGCTGAACAGATTGCAGTAGTCTTAATATTTGTACTTTGAGTATTGTATTTCATATAGGAATTGCCCCACACGCGAACATTGAACATTGTAAAGTCCACTCATATACATATATTTCCTATTATCTGAACCGCATTTGCATCGGTAAGTGCGCAATCGAATAGTAAAGCAATACCTAGACGAAACTAGAATAGGGCTCCCATTAAGATACACCCCATGGCATATTTTTAGAAGTGCTACGAATTCAATTTGAATAACAATATTATAGATCAGCAATTCAGTTTTAAGGGAATAACTCTTAATTTCCGCATAACATTCACTGGTTATACTTATATCAACTGGATTTCAGAATCTAGAAAATTAAACACACATTCAGTTCTATCTTACTCCAGGGTTGATATATTTAACATCTGACCATCAGATCATCTAATATTTTAAGTCGACAATTTGGTTCTTAGGTAAAAAACTTGATAATTCTACATCATACACTCTGGACTTAAGGCTATAGTCAGGCTAGACTGTGATTGTAAGCCATATTTTCACATTTTAAATCTACTTCAATATTGTTTTTTAATATTTTTCAGTGTACACTGCATATCACGCCGTTATCTCGTGCTATACCTCTTAAACTAATGATGCAGTTTAATATCTTGAAGTCGAAATTGGGTAAACAGTGCAATTAACAGTTTAGTCTGGCTTCACACTTCATTATTTTATGCAAATTGACGACAATTCTTGCTAATTACACGTGACAAGTTTTGCTAAGTCCGGATTGGTTTAACTAAGCAGGGCTTAAGGCTAGCTCGTGCTGGCCTTAGCCACATATTTAAACATACTTATATGTATATAGATGTGTGTGTGTGTATGGCGAATCCCTGACAGCTCAAGTGATCTGACCGACTATTTAGTCGACATTCTTTTATGCTCTTTAACTGACGAACGTCGTCATCAAACATCATCATTATGAGCATCTATCTGCTGCTCTGGCATTCGTGTTAGATTTGCGTCGCACGAATCGTTTGTAGAATGCAC